CTCCCCCCGTCAGCCCCACCCTCTCTCCAAAAAAATTTAAGTTTATTTTTAAAAAATATTTTCAATTTCAATTCAAAAATTATTTTCTACTCTCTAGTAAAAATAAAAGATATTTCTCAAAAATATCTTTCATCCATAAATCAAACACTAAAAAACTTTTCCCAAAAATATTTTCTACTCATCAACCAAACATGAGAAAATAAAAAATCATCTACTTGTATTCCAGGAAAACATTTTCCTTCGTACCAAACACACCCTACATCTTGTACAAATTAATAAAGGGGGCTTAATGCTTATACTCAATTTGTTTTTGATAAAAGGTCATCATTTTTGCTAACTTATGGATATTGGATGAAGTGATCATTAATAATATTAATGCTTAACTCTTAAGCAACTAGTTTTGATACCTAATATATTGTCTAAGCTTCTTGCATATCATTTCCCAATTATTAAATTGGATAAGACTCTAGATGTTTGGTTTTAATTGGAGTATTATCTCATATATAAAAGTTTAACCTGTTTGAAAGAGAACATTTTTATTTTTTCTTAATTATGTCTTAAGTATGCCTCCTAATCATATGCGAGCATGATTATTTTTCATGGTACAAATATGTACGTAGAAGATCTTTTTGATATTAATGAATGACGCTGAAACTTAAGCCTAGGATTTTTCTACCTATTCTGACCATCTCTTCTAAAAGTTAAACGGTTAGAAAGGACATATTTTCTTTTCTTAATTATGTCTTCTAACCGTTTCTCCAAATAAAAGAAAAAGAAAGAAGAAAACCATTTCCAACATGGATATAGAAATAAAAAAGTAGAAAATGGTCAAAATAACTTCTTGTATAGAACATTATTCTCTTAAAAACCAAATTTCATTATTTATTTATTTTCCTCACTTTTTTCCATTTTTTATGTTTTAATTATACTGTAAAACTTTAATTACAATTTTTTCAATATATATAATATATAATAACCGTGGGATGTGATCCTTCACCAAATCCTACTAACACGAAATATTTTGTGCATTAACCGCCCCTTTTTTACTTTGGCAGGTTATGAAATTTCTACTACTTTTGGTAGAGTGGAAAAGATTGTCTTTAAGGAAGCAGTCTAAGATCCAAAAACAACTTGAGGACATAGCATCTCTAAAGTACTGAGAATTCTCCAACTAGTGCGTATGGTATATGCCTTTAATTTGTTGTATATAAATAAGAGAAAGAAAAATGAAATAAAATAGATGGAATAGAGAAAAGAAGTATGTCTTTTCTCATTAGTTTTAAGGCCTTGTACATGTTGGGTATATATCAAAACCAAAAAATATATAGATTTTGATAGTTATCTAGCTTACATCCTATGTATACTCTTATTACATTTAAATATGTTATTTATGAACATTACTTTATTTCTCGAAAAAGAAATAAAGATTGATAATTAACCAAGGAACACAACCAAATTAGATAACATGATCTATATAGCTATCATCACAATCCAAATCCCAAATAGAAATTGCAACTTCATGATTTAGAACATCTTGTGATGAGTTCAAGTTCTCATTAGTTGTTGCATCATCATCCCAAAAGTTTCCAAAATTTTCCACCACTCCATGAACTAATATTTGTGCATGATAGTTTTCAAAATCTTGTTGGATAGTGATTTCCATTTCTTCTTGTGGCTTTTTTATTTCTCCAATCAAGCTAGAAAAGTTGTCATAGGCACTTTCTTGATTATTTTGATCACTTTTAATTTTACCATAAGAGCAACTTGACTCATGTTCAATTCTTGAATTCTTGTCCTCAAATCCCAACCCTAATTGACTTTGTGGACAATTCATGTTTTGGCATGCATACAATACATCCTCCATGTTAACATCATGATCAAAGATAATGGACTTCCTCTTGTCATTTTTTCTCAACATTTGGGGAACAAAAGCAAGATCTAATTGATCTTCTTTATCCTTATTTTCTTCTTCTTTGGATGTTGAAATCTTGAGAGACCTAGTTAACTTGAGAAGGGCTTCTTCTTGGTTAACAACTTTAGACCAAGTAGATGTTTCTATGGCTGTCATCTTGTTTTGTAAATTCTTGGATTGATTCACCAATCTCCTCATCCTGCCTAAATCAGGAGACATGTGTTTGACAATTGCAGCCAAAACACTTACTTTCCATGCTTTTTTCAAACCATGGGGTTTCCTATAAGGTGGTGGACCTTGTTCTTGGGACAACCCTTGATCACCCCACCAAAGTTCATTCCCTGTCACAACAAACGATTCAAAATTTAAACTTCATGAGTTGATTAATAATATTATGAATATTTCAAAATTATGAGTGTAAAACTAATATCTATATAGTACTCTTTTATCCCAATTTATGTAACGCATTTTACTTTAGTTTTTAGTTTTGTCTCTATATTTAGAAAAAAATTCAACTTTATACTTTCTATTTTACTTTTCATAAGATGATTTATAACCACATAGATACCTATAATTGCTTTAGAGAACTAGTTTCGAAAGTTGTTATTTCATTCTTAAACTTTGTGGTCAGTCAAAGTGCACACATAAATTGAGAAGGAAGGAGTAATTACTTTTTTCAAGAAATTTAACATGTCTAAATATATTCTTCCTTTGTTTCAATTTGCATGTATCTTGCTTTTCTTGATTAATCTGTTTCGGGAAAAAAATGTCACTTTTTATATTTTGTAACTCTTTAATTCCAACGCATTCTACATGTTTAAGACCACGAGATCTGATTATCTTTTGATTCATTATATATAACTTTAATTAGTTTAAGATCTCACAAGATTGAAAACATCTTGAATTCCGTGATATGTTGAGTTAAAGTAAGACATATAAATTGAAATAGGTAGAGAGTTGTGATGTAGCTACCTGTTGGCCACCAAGGTGGGGGTGAACCTCTCTCCAAAGGGAACCTCCTTTGTGGAGGGATACAATGTTGCATTAGAGCTGAAAGTATTGAGCTTAAAGTAGTGTCTTGTAATTCTTCAAGAAGACACATAAATGAGGAATTAGGATCCAACATGTTCTCCTCCTCTACTAATTTGGGCAAGGACTTAGCAATGGCAATAGGGGCATTTTGATCAAATCTTACTTTCTCCTTCCACCATTGTTGCAAACTATCTGAACAGCCACTCACCAACTTCCCCTTCTCTGACACAATTCCATACACAAAGCCTTCACCCTTGCAAACCTCCATGATTTTTACCTGTTAATTAAACAAGAAAAGGCTTTGAATGACTATATATATATATATATATATATATTAATGGTAAGTTGGAGTGTTCAACTGACATCCTGGAGATAAATTAGGATGTAAATCTACTTGTCTAGATGTACATATTTAAAGTTGGAGTATTTACTTGTCAGTTAAGCAAAGTTTGAATATTATATATGTATTCCGTTGTAAGTAGGAGTGTTCAACTAACACCATGAAGATAAGCTAAGATGTACGTCTAAATGTGCATATTCAAAGTTGGAGTGTTTACTTCCCAACTAAGGCAAAATTTGGATATCTATATATGTATTAATTATTTTGTAAGTTGGAGTGTTCAACTGGAACAATGAAGACAAGCTAAGATGTACGTCTAGATATGCATACTCAAAGTTGGAGTGTTTATTTGTCAACCGACCAGGTAAAGTTTGAATATCTATATATGTATTATTTTGTAAGTTGGAGTGTTCTACTGACACAATGGAGACAAACTAAGATGTACATCTAGATATACATATTCAAAGGTGAAGTGTTTACTTATCAGCAGAGGCAAAGTTTGAATATATATATATATATATAAGTATTATGGTAACTTGTGTTCATCAACTGATCACACAATGAAGACAAGCTAAAGTGCACATCTAGATGTGCATACTCAAAGTTGGAGTGTTTACTTGTCAGTTGAGCCAAAGTTTGAATATCTATATATGTATTATTTTGTAAGTTTGTGTTCATATATCAACTGACACAATGAAGACAAGCTAAGATGTGCATACTCAAAACTGAAGTGTTTACTTGTCGATCAGTTGATTTTTAAATGTCTATACATGTATTATGCATATAGTAAATTAAAGCATAACATATATATATATATATATATATATATGGCAACATTACCATGTACTTGAGAATAGAATCTTGAGCTTTGGACATCTTTCTCCTTCTACATAAATATTGTTCTTGAGCTTTAACCTCATCAATCTCTTCTTCTTCTAATAATAATAATTTACTCTCTCCCTTCTTCTTGAACTTGTGCAAACGCATCCGGTCCTTCCACATTCTCTTCTTGAGTTCATCATAGCTTAATTCTTCTTCCTCCATATTTTTTCATACAAAGATATATAAAAGGGAAATATAGTGATTGGTGAGTGTAACAAGTAGTAACAAGGAACATATATTTATATTTTAGTTATATGTGCATGTATATTAAATGGAAATGCTAATATTGGTGTAAATTGGCGGTGGGAAAATGTACAAAATTTAGTGGCTATAATGATCTTCCCAAGGGTGAAAGAGGATTTTGGATGTAAGCTCTACAATAAGAGAGCTACGTCGATGCTTCATCTTCACTTTGCATGCATGTGAGTTGGGCCAATAATTGATCTGTCCATTTATTAGTTTATCAAAAAATCGAATGGTGGTTATTAACCATCATATATTTTTCAGCCCGTTAATTATTAGTATCAATCAATATCACTATCACAATTACAATCACTATTATCAGTCACATCCATCATTACAGTTACTACATAACAACCACCTCGACCATTACAACTACCATCATCATCATTACAAGCCACTAATTAACATCAATCATTAGTTATCACTATCTCTCCACCATCACTAGTGAACATAATTATTTATTTTTAATCAAACAATAATATTTATTTTATTAAATTAATATTTTCTATAAATATTAAATTATTTTTTTATTCAAATTATATATTTATTATGTTTATAAATAAATAAATCATGCATATTCAGATATTGAAATACAAACAATTTTATCATTTAATATTCAAATTTAAAAATAATATCTTAATCATTTAAATCAACATTCAAATATCTTTTAATCTTAATAAAGATAAATCAGACCTTAAATGTTATAGAGTAAATAGGACACCCCATAAAATGTCTTCTTAGATAAATACATGTGATTGGTCCAATGCCAAATGAAATTACTGAGCTAAAGGCAGAAATCAGTAATTGGTCTAACAATAATAATAATTTAAAATTGATCTTCTGAAAATTCATATTGCTGGAGGATTTTTGTGCAACTAGCAAGAGGCTCATTAGAAAGGAATCCCATGGAATTAGCGAAGCGAGTATTAGAGACCATCCCATTGTTGCTAGTGAGGACAACACGGGCACGATCGCGGCCCGTGTTGGGTTCCGCACACATAGGATCGGAGCTTCTAATGAGGACGACATCGCAAAATTCATCGCGGCGATCACTATTCACAAGGATCTTATATTCTCCTTTAGAGTTTGTAAAACCTTCAACTGTGTATGCCAAATCGTTAGTGTCCCTATTCTTGCACTCGATTCTAACCCTTGACCCTACAAAGTGCATTCAATATTAAGTAAATAAAAGTATATTGTATAATAATTTTTAGATTAGATGATCACAAGCTCTAACATACCAAAATAAATAGGCTTATTTTGTCACCTTTTTAAAAAAAAAAATAATGTTTAGTTCCACGGTAAAGATATATTAAGAGAGAGACATTGAAAACACCCCTGAATTTTACGCAAGTTATAATTAGTTTCGTCTTCGAATTAAAAACACTCATCTACTTGACTAACTAAACTTAGATACACCCCCAATCTGCCACATGACATAGCAAGTGGTCTCCAACTCTTGTAGGAGCATGAACGACTCTTAATAAAAAGTTGAGATAAGTGTTGAAAACACCCATGAACTTTACGCAAGTTATTAGTTTTGTCCTCGAACTATTGACAGTCTTAAAAACACTCATCTACTTGACTAACTAAACTTAGATACACCCCCAATCTGCCACATGACATAGCAAGTGGTCTCCAACTCTTGTAAGGCATGAACTCTTAATAAAAAGTTGAGAGAAGTGTTGAAAACACTACTAAACTTGGTGAGAATTTAGGAATGTATTTCTGTCATGTTGCAAAATGGAGGGTCTATTTAAGTTCAGTTAGACAAGTAAAGAGTGTTTTAAGGTTGTTAATAATTCGAGAATGAAACTAA